CGCCGCGTGGGCTTGTGTCTGTGGGTGGACGCCGGGCAATAAAGGACGTCACGCCTGCCCGTGGGCTTGTGTCTGTGGGTGGACGTCGCTCCTGCCTGGCAACTGTCTGCTGGGGCCTCGGCCGCGGGAGCTGCTGGGGGTGAAGCCCAGGGTCTGAAAGGAAACCTTGTCCTCTCCACCCCCGCTGCTCCCCCGGCCCCCGCTGTGGGCTCCAGACTGTCCCCCCAGCACGGACCCTTCCCTGAAGGGCTCAGGCCCCTGAGACCTCCCCTGGTCACTGTCCCGGGCGCTCGGGGTCGCCTCCTGCCAGGTCCGTGTCCGGCGCCCCTGCCCTGGGAGAGCTGCTGTCTGTCCAGCCTGGAGGTCCGGCCTGGGGGGCTGCAGCTCCCCGCCTCCCACAGAGCACCCCACGCGGACACAGCTGCCCTGACCACAGGCGGCCGTGCCCTTTGTGGTCCTGCAGGTGGCTGTGAGCATCACAGGCTCAGGGTGGGAGCCAGGGGGCACTGCACACCCCCCCTGCCAACATGGGGGGGGGCCAGCGCTGGGGGGGCAGGTGCACGCCCAGGGCCCAGAGAGGCTGCAGCAGCCAGGGGGCGCTTCCTGGGCCTCGAGGTCTGAGAACCAGCCCCAGGGGGGCAGCAGCGGGGGAAGGGGACAGACCCCGTTTTGGACTCCAGCCACGAGTCGGGCAGTCCCACCCCTGACGCCGTGGCCCTTACACTCCCACCTGTCACTATGAACCACCGTGCTGGGTGCTTCACAAGGTCAGAGTGAGGGCGCGAGTGGGGGACGGGAGGTCAGTGGGCCTGGGCCCCCAGGGGGGTGAGTGGCACAGATCCAGGCACCCGCGCCCCGCGCCCCGCCGATGCCTGACCGCCTGGCCAGGTGGGAGCACTCCCAGGCAGGTGCTGGTGTTGTTCCCGAGAACCATCGCAACCCCCAACTCTCGGCCACTGTGTAGCTCGCATCTGCTGCCCCCACACGCTGTGGGCGGCCGGCACCTCTGCAGGGACGCGGGGCTGCCATGGGGGCCCAGCCCTCGCCCTGCAATTCTCCGCCCCCCTCCTGCCTTCCCAGTCCCCACGTGTCAACGACCAGTCTGGGCACAGATACCTCCATCAGGGAGGCTGGGGAACGGTCGCCCCACAGCTCCGACTGCCACCCTCTCTCGAGGCGCTCGTCTCCCGTCCACTTCCGTCTCTAGGACCTGGGAGAGCCGGGTCAGCAGGTGGCACCCACGCACCAGGCCGGACGCAGCTTCTCGGGGCTGCCAGGCAGCCTTCAGGTTCCCACCATTTCCCACATCAATTTAAACGTAAGACTTTTTTTGTTAATCCTCACCTGAGGATATTTCCCAGTAAGAGAGAAGAAGGGAGGGGAGAGACACACATTGATGGACAGAGACACATCGATGTGACAGAGACACATCGACTAGTTGCCTCCCGCACACACCCCCTGACTCAAGCCTGCAACTGAGGTACAGTGAGCCCTTGACCAGAATCGAACCCAGGACCCTTCAGTCCACAGGCTGACGCTCTATCCACTGAGCCACACCGGCTCGAGTCTCACATGTAATTTTAGAGCAAGATCATACAGTTCCCTTGGCCATTCCCAAGACACAACCAGTGATTTTTACTGTGATTTATTTTTAATTGAAATGACGGTTGTCTGCCAGGATGATGCTCATAAAACTTTTACACTATGAATGACTGCAGTGACCTCAACGAGCACTCTCGATAGATCACACTAATCAGACTGTGAGGTGGCAGAACCCACGGCTCCCACAGCCGTCGCCTGGTGCTGGGGGAGGACCCCGGCTGTGGCCTCGGAGCTAACGCTCGGGGCAGGGCCCACGCTGCTCTCAGCGAGGCGCTGAGCAGAAGCCAGAGGCTGCCTACATCTCGGGGTTCCCCGGAGGGCGCAGAATCCGGCCAGGCCCTGGTCCTGCCCTGGCTGTGCTGCGACGCCCGGTCCCTGAGGGTTCGGCAGACCCATGGATTTCACTTCGCTCGCCATTAAAGCTGGCTGGAGCCGAAGCCGGTTTGGCTCAGTGGATAGAGTGTCGGCCTGCGGACTGAAGGGTCCCAGGTTCGATTCCGGTCAAGGGCATGTGCCTGGGTTGCGGGCACATCCCCAGTGGGAGGTGTGCAGGAGGCAGCTGATCGATGTTTCTCTCTCATCGATGTTTCTAACTCTCTGTCTCTCTCCCTTCCTCTCTGTAAAAACTCAATAAAATATATTAAAAAAAAAAAAAGCTGGCTGGTCTCTGCCCGGCCGGGTGGCTCAATGGGTGATCATCGACCTATGAACCAGGTGGTCAGGGTCCGATTCCCAGTGAGGGCACAGGCCCAGGTTGTGGGCTCCATCCCCAGTGTGGGATGTGCAGGAGGAGGCAGCCCACCCATGATTCTCTCTCATCACGGATGTCTCTCTCTCTCTCTCCCTCTCCCTTCCTCTCTGAAGTCAATACAAACATATTTTTTAAAAAAACTGGGCGGGTCCCGTTCTGCCCGCTTCCCTTAAGGAGCAGCCAGACCCCAGGGCACACAGAGCAGCAGTGGGACCCCCACTTACGGGAAGGTGTCCTGTGAAAGCCGGGCCTCCCGTGTCCACCACCTGGGCACCATCTTGGGACGGTGGGCACCCCCTCCAGACTCAGCTTCCCTGTTCCCGCTCATCAGCACCCCCCAAACACCGGGCCTGAACCCCAAT